AGAGAGAGAGAGAGAGAGTGTGTAGCTTTTGTCGTGTTGGTCGAGCGTCGATGAAAAGAAATCTCGGCGAATGAAAATAAACGTTCCGACCGACCACTCGACGAACCAACTGGCGTGCGTGTTACGGTTGAGGGTTTAAAGAGGGTCGATCGCGGGGAGGAGGGTAGGAGGTTCGGAATCAGAGAGGGTGTACGAAGAAGCACGTTCCAAGGTATAGCGATGGCAACGCGGGGTGAGCTTCGACGTTTCACCCATGGTCGATCAGGAAATTGGCCCTCCTTTCGTCGTTTTATCGCGCGTAAAACTGTGACGCCTTTAACCCCGGCTGACGACTTAATTTACCGGTACAATGCCACCCGGACTCTGCGAGAAACTTCGATCCTCTCCTCCCCTCTCCTTCTCTCCTTTGTTCTCCCCTTTTGTATCTTTGCTACCGCGGCAGAGTCGCCGAGTAATGGATTCGAAGATCGTTGGACCCCGCGAACGAATCCTCTTGGATTTCTTCCTGTAGATTTGATTACCCCTTGCTTCGTTGTACGTTCCTTTCTTTTCGAACTTTCCGCCTTCTTTTCGCTTTTCGCTTTTCGCTTTTCTGACAATTAGACTGCTTCGTTTCATTCTTCGCTTGTTCATTTCTCGACAGCTTGTTTGTTTTTATCAAGATTCTCGGGAATTTTAATAGCGGCTTCAGCAGGCTGGAGCTTCAAGTATTTGCAATCTTGATCGTTTCGAATGAATGTTGCAGTCTTTTACGACTGTCTGCCGGGCGTGAAACTTCCCTGGCGAAAGAAATTGCGAGAAAGTGAGTTTGAAGAGGGAGATTCTCGCCGAGGGAGGAAGTTGTTGTGCAATTCAAAGAATCTTTAATATACAACGAGGATAACTTACAGGATAACTTACAAGAAAATGTTAGGGAAATCTGATGAGAAGAATAGCAACCGGCCATTTTAGATTTCCACGGTACCACTTCCATTCAATCTCGTCAGTTTAATTGAATTTCCATTCACCGTGTTCAGCGAGTCTCTGTTAACTTTAATTATTGCACATCCAACAGTTTAATAAATCTACGGACAATGTGACGTAATCCTTTATAGCCAATTCACCGTCGAAAATTTCGTATCTGTCAGGTTACGACAGGTATTTTCGTACGTGCGAACAATAAATGACAATCCTGAACTGAAAAATTGCTTCCCCTTACGATCGTGTCATAAACTGCGTCCAACATGGTGGAGGAATTACATGCTGGACTATACGTTGACCTGTATCACCATTCTGTTCACTCTCAACTTGGGTAGAAAAACATCTGAGCTCGTGAATCGTGTTATTTCCTATTTTTCACGATTCGTCAAACGTGTTGTTAATTTATTAATTAAAGTAACACGTGAATTTCATTTATTCGATGTACGTTATCTAGAAATATCAACGCGATATATTAAATTGTGTCAGAGTATATTAAATATACATGTGATCTATTAAAGAGAAGAGAGAGAGAGAAAATCGGTTAATTATAATCTTATCGAGATTATAGAAGTATGCGTATATTAAATATATTCATCAACCGAAGCAGTATATTACCTCGCGAAGTATTAACATTTTTCCGTTCTATCGTCGTAAAAAATTTTATTCCCTTTTATCATTCTATCGAAAAGATAACAAATCGTCACAGGGATATTCCTAGTTCACACTCATAGTTTCCACTTTTCAAACTTTCTTAGTTTGAGAAAGTTTCGCTGTAAAAGCACGTAGGTGCGATCGTATTATAAAAATCGGTACACGAAGGTTCACGCGTGAGATCGGCCGACGATCAAACGATAATAAAATTTCGCGAAACATTTTTAAACTTTCGCTCGGAGCGACACGTCCAACCCCTTACATTCGTGCTTTACACAATAAAAGCGTGACAAAGGAGGAAATACGGCGAGAAGAAAACGGGAAAAGTGAAACTCGTTACATCTCCTCGAGGGAAAAAAGAGAATTTCACGATGACGTGATATGACGCGGCGTGTCCTCGAGGCGAAGTTTTTCCCCGACAAGCGAAAGGAGAGCGGCCATCGAGCACGCGGAGAAAAAGAACAACGCGGATATTCGTGGGCAGACTTTAAAGTAATAATCCAGAGACGAGGAGCAAAGTAATTTCAATTGTAAATGCCCGGCCGTTGGTAACTTTGTTCGCCAAGGAAAATAACTAAGACGAAATTTTCTTTCTACCGATCGATCGTAGTTGCCAGCACTGACTTCCTCCTTGAATCCTCTTTCTGCTTTTAGAATCTCAAAGAAAAAAAAAAAAAACAAGATAAGTGGCTAGGAAAATATATTGTATTTTCAGTTGTTAAGATTTTGTTGCAATAATCAAAATAAACAGTTTCTTGTTAAATGTCGTAATATTTAAAGAAAAATATTTTCTACTGACATTCTTTTTCACAGAGAAAATTAAAAAAAATATATCGAAATACACGTATCCAAATGTTTCGACGAAAGGGCAATCGAACAAAATGACGTATATATATTCTTCTCAATTCGTCGCGTTCGTGTTTCTCTCGAATATTTTCCTCCTTCTTATCGTGCAAAATCGACCTCGTCCGCGAAAAGTATGGGAGAAGTAGCGAAAATTGAAACGTTCGTTTCGAATTCGGATCCAAGACGAATGAACTTGTTACGCAGCCTAATATTTCCTTATATTTCCTTCGAATCCTTATACTCGTTGAGCCGATGGCGGTCGTTTTTCTTCGCGGTCTTGGCGCTCGGGAAGGTTTTAAAGGGCGGTGTTACGGTTTTTCGAAGAACGCTGTCGGATTGTTGAAAAATACCACCACCGTGGATCGATCCACGGCCGTGTGGCCACGGCCATAAATCACCCGTGAAGGCGTGTATGTGGTGCTTTTTAAGTACGTCGTACGTTTCACGTGGTTTCCCGCGGCTGTTGTGCTATCAGATTTCGCGCGTGTCGGCCGATTCATTTTCAACTGCTTAATTGCAAATTTAACTGCGTGTGTTGTGCTCGTGCGTGTTAATTAATCGCCGAAAGAGAAAGTTCGAAATTTCATGAATCATTGAGAAGACGCGCTTGCTTGATTTAACGATACGTTATTTGCATTCGCTGAAATTACGCGCGTTGTAACGTTATGCTGATAGCGTGATTATGATTATCGTTCATCGTCGAAGATGTGTTCTGGGAAGATTATCATCAACATATGAGATGAATTCTGCAACCTTGAATTGCTATATTTCGTGAAATATTCTTCGTAATTAAATAAAAAATGCAAATTAACAGAATGTAATTGTTACTGTGCAGACGTTTGAAGTATCCTTTCATGTAGTAAGAATAATTTAAGCCACAATTAGCTAATTTGTCTTGTAGATTTGTAACACAGAGCTACACCGATTGAGATACTAGGAGATTAGCTAGATAACATATCAAAGAATCACGAAAATTACGAGAATCTCTAATGTAAAATTGTAGGGAAATAACTACAATTATTTCGCAAATTTTTATAGTAATTCAGTTCCTAAATTTTTATTTTGTTTTTTACGTAAGACATTGCTGTGCAAACAATTGTTCAAATATTCGTGATTCACATTACTCATAACAGTACGGGTATTATGAGAATAATTATACAATGATATTATTATTTACTATTAATTATTTATTAGTTATTTACA